TCAACCTCCCAAGTCGCGACATGGCCTTCGAAGTTTTCGTCGGCTGGCTACCAGTGGCAGAACGAGAATCAGGAGCAAGACTGAAAAGCTTCCAGTCGGACGGAGGAGGAGAATATCAGTCACAAAGGTTCAGGCAGTACCTCGCAGAACGAGGCATCAAGCGACTCATCTCGCTTCCCTACGCCCATCAACAGCAAGGCGTGGCAGAACGGATGAACAAAACTCTCCAGAACACCATGCGCAAGCTGTTACGTGGCATGCGACTGCCCAATCACCAGTGGCCTGAGGCGATGGACCACGCTTGTCAGAATATGTTATATTTGTCTAGCCTGCAGTGGGGTACTCAATAGTGAGTACAGCCCAATCTAGGGTTTCCTATATGTACTCAACTGCCTGGTAGTGCAAATCTCTCTTCTCTGATTCATTTCATTCGCTCATAATCTAACATGGTATTAGAGCAGGTCGACCCTTCTGGGTCGATCCTGTGCATGGGCCCACCGTTATCTTCCGCTGCTGTCCTGCCTATCGCGCGCCTCGGGCGCTCGCTGTTTCCTGCCTGCCGCGCGCTCGTCGCGCGCGGCACCTTTTTCTTCTCGCCGCGCACTAGTGGCGCGCGGCGGTTTTCTGCCCGTCACGCCGCCCTGCAGAGTGCGCGACGCCCTGCCTGCCCGTCGTGCGCCCCGAGGCGTGCGGCGGTTTCGTCGCCTAACGCGGCGCACCGGGGGCCCGCGCACCCCCCCCCCCCCCTTTTCCCGTCGCCCGTCGCGGCGCCCTGGGGGGCCGCGCGCGGCCTTCCTCAGGTCGCCTCGACAGGCGACGGGAGGGGCGACAGAAGGGGGACGCGCGTCGCCCCTTCTGTCGCCCGTCACGGTGCCCTAGAGGGCCGCTTGTCGGCCCCTCCCGTCTTCGTCGCGGCCCTGCCCGGCCCTGCCGTCCTACCCCAGCCCTGTCCCGGCCCTGCCCTGCCCGGCCCTGCCGTCCTGCCCCGGCCCTGTCCCGGCCCTGCCCTACCCGGCCCTGCTCAGTCGCGGCCCTGCCCCCGTCTTCGTCGCGGCCCTGCCCTTCTGCCGCCCCCGTTGCGGCCCTGCCCTGCTGCCGCCCCTACTGCGGCCCTACCCTGTGTTGGGGTTTGGGGGTGGCGAGTATGGGGGTGAAGGAGGTGTGCGGCCTCCCCTGCTCCTCTTCCTCCTCCGTCTCCCACTGCTGCAGCTGCCGCTGAGGGGGGTGGGTATGTGGGAGCCGACGGAGTGGTACTAAGGGGTGGAGTGTGAGTAGTGCTAGAGGTGCAGCAGGGGGTGTGTGAAAGGGGGGTGCGACAGTGGGGGGGGTTGAAGGGAGGTAGCCGTTGTGTCGTCAGCAGCGCCAGTAGTCCGGAGGCTACAATCTCCGGTAGCCCAGCGAGCCTGCTGCGCCAGTCGCCCGTGGGTCCGTTGCTCCTGCCGCTCAGAGTTAGCCGCAGAGCCAGTTACTCTAGTAGTCCGGAGGCTACAATCTCCGGTAGCAACAGTGCGCGCCGCTCCTGTTGTCCGTGTATCTGCTGCTTCACTCGTCGTCTCCTATCTCCTCTCCTCTCACAGTCCCTCCTCCTCCTCACTTACCGTCTGTGACTGCCTCTAGCTTTGCTTATATTTGTGAACTATAAACTGCTGCTCCTTGTAATTGTGCTCAGATTGTGTGGTGACGTCGTGATCCACCCTGAGCTTGCTTTGCTTTGTTTGTTGTGCTGATTACACCCCACTTTGGCTATGGGGGTGTGTCAGAATATGTTATATTTGTCTAGCCTGCAGTGGGGTACTCAATAGTGAGTACAGCCCAATCTAGGGTTTCCTATATGTACTCAACTGCCTGCTAGTGCAAATCTCTCTTCTCTGATTCATTTCATTTGCTCATAATCTAACAACGCTGTCATGCTGCACAACTTGCTCTCGTCGTCATCACCCCCGAACAACGCATCACCGCACCTGCTGTGGACAGGAAAACTGGGCAACACAAAAATGTTATGAGTTTTCGGGTGCATGGTACAGTACCGACCGCACACTGCGAGAGCCGAAAGGTTTTCCCAACGCGCACAGTGGGGGCTACACCTGGGCATCGAAAAGCATTACAACGCATGGAAGATTTTCGACGTCCACTCGAAGGAAATAGTAGCAACACGTGATGTCATTTTCTACGAGCGACTCACACTTCAAACGTACCTGGACAACCTGGCAGCACATCGAGACCTCACAGGCGGCTTCCGTGGCAACCGAGCCTTTGCTTCAGCAGCAGACGAAGCTGAATGGGACGGGCAGAACGTGGACGGCGCATCCGAGGAAGCAGGACCACTCCCATACTGCTCCGTGCCCATCCCGATGGATGACGAAAACCCTCGCAAAATTATCAACGCCGAAACCTACTTCGATTTCGCTGACACTGGTTACGTTACTTCCCAACCGGTCGACACCAACGTCTCCAAGCACATAGACCCAAATTTCTTACCGGATCCTGAAGCAGGAGACGAAGCAGCTTATCTTGAGGACACAAATCTTCCCCGCTACACACAAAGTGGACTGCAAATACTAGGACTCGTCACCGCTGTCCACGGAGCAGCACCACCTAAGGAGCCTACCAACATTCAGTAGGCTCTGGGGGGGGGAACACAGGGAAAAATGGTGCGAAGCCATGGACAGAGAGTTAAAGGCGCTACAAGAACGCAACACCTGGAAATTCGTGCCTATCGGAGTGGCACGCAACAAAACCATCCTCACGGGAAAATGGGTTTTCCGCGTGAAAACAAAAGCCGACAGAACAATTGGCAAATTCAAGGCACGCTGGGTCGTACGTAGCTTCGACCAAGAGCAAGGACGAGACTTCACGGAAACATTTGCTCCAGTAAGCCGACATACCTCGTTGCGGATTCTCCTCGCGATAGCCGCCATGAAGCGGAAGAAGCTTCGGCAAATCGATGTCGCCAACGCATTCCTCTACGCCCCCGTCGATGCTGAGATCTTCGTCGAACTCCCGCACAGGTCCAACGCAGACCCCAACCAAGTCTGTCAGCTGGAAAAATCACTGTACGGCATCAAACAAGCCCCGAGACTGTGGCAACAGCACCTTCACGCCCGCCTAGTCCGCATCCGATTCCTCCAACTACCGCGCGACCAAGGGATGTACCGACTTACGAAGGGTACTGACTATATCCTACTCATCGTTTACGTAGGCGACCTCCTCTACATAGGCTCCACCAACGCCATAACGACCAGGTTTGAAGGGGAGCTGCAGCGGGATCTCACACTCACCGTCGCGAGTACCGTGACACAGTATCTGGGACTGAACATACAAGACGGCGACAACGCAATCTACCTCAGCGCCGAAAAGTACACGGACACTATCGCTAAACGTTTCGGACTCACTCCAACCATCATCTCCACGCCATACCGCTACACCGACAGAAACCGCAAAGTCTCCGCCCTACTCAAACCCGCCGGCATTCGCGACTACCAACGAAAGTTAGGCTGTCTACTCTTCGCAGCCGTTACCTGCCGACCGGATCTACCCTACTCAGCTAGCCAACTCGCTACCTACCTCAAGAAGCCTGAAGCAGAGCACATGCTTGAACTCGACCGAGCACTTCACTACCTCGTCAGCACTCCGACGATTGGACTAACCTACCACAAGATCGGAACTACGACACCCAAGTTAATCGGCTACGTCGACGCCGATCACGCTGGAGATTCCGACAACAGACGATCTCGAACTGGCTACGTCTACCGACTCGAACCTATCGGCCCTATCTCATGGCAGTCGAACAAGCAAGAGCTAATCGCTCTCTCCTCAGCCGAAGCAGAATATATCGCACTTTGCTCAGCCACCAAGGAAGGACTATATCTTCGCGAATTGCTGGAAGAAGCAAAATTGGCCCAGTTACCCAACTTCTCCCTCTTCTGTGACAACCAATCGGCCATTCGCATAGCGAACAAAAATGGGTTCGCGAATCGAACGAAGCACATCGCCCTCCGGTACTTCTTCGTAAAGGACGAAATCGAGAAGGGAAGACTTGAACTATCCTACTGTCCCACATCCGAGATGGCAGCCGATTATTTGACCAAGAAACTCGGAAAACAGAAGTTTGAGTACTGCATGCTGCTGACTGGACAAGGACACGTCATCAGCAGCGATACTCCAGAAGCGAAGGGGAGTGTTGGAAAGAAGTAACTTAAACGCTTATGAAGTATCGAAGTATCGACACGAAACGAAGCAGACTACAGTGAAGCAACACGAGTCAACAAAAGCAACCGCTGGAGGTTACGCGAAGGTCAAAGGTCGATGACCTTTGACTCGATGAAAAATACAGTGCGACAGCAAGGACACATAACTGACTCGATACTGAGCAGTTACCCGAGTCGGCACTGTATCGAACCGCAACAGCAAAAACAGTTAAAGTAGAACTATTCATATTCCTTGTAATGATATAAAAACCTTGTATTTCTCTGCTATTATCAACTTATCTTGTTCTCACAGACCAGTACAAGGTGGTTCAGCAACTCTGATATTAACGCTTCCGCAAATACATCTCTACTTCAACCTTGATCTTAGCCTTGAAAGATCTTTAGGGGGTTTTCCCAGCCCAACAAAAACTACTCGAACGGAAGTGTTGATTGAGCCGTTGAAATTAGAGAAACGTGGGTGGAGGGAAATGAACTCCAACCCACGGTTTTTGTTGTTGGAGAAGGGCGTTTAGCGCGCTTAGACGCTGCCAAATATTCGGTACACGCGGCTTCGCTTTCACAATACATAATGTTGAAAAACACAATTGTATTTATAATATATAAACTCTTTTATCCAAGAAATGATGGTAATTCAAAGCCATATCAAGGGGATTGCAGAAGCTTTATTACTTCTTTATGAATGTACTAGCGAATGCTGTTTTAGTATCAATAAGAAAAAAAACAACTGAATTGTATGTTGTTCTTGTTAGTCAAGTGCTAGTGCAGTTTTCCCAGCACTACTCATATCCAGCATCACTCCACCTTCCCATGAGCCAGCACCCCCCCATGGACCTTGGCATGGCCGTCCGGCATTCCAGGGGAGATGGGGCCGTTGGTGGGGGAGGAGTGGGGGGAGGCTTCAAGAGGCGGCAGCGGGGGGATGTACTTGAGCCCCACCAGGTCCGCCACCTCGTCCAGCACCTGGGGACAGGGGGGAGGAGAGGGGCAGGGAAGAGGGCGAGGGAGAGGGAGAGAGAGAGCTAGAGGAAGGGGGGATGGGGGGGGGGAGAGAGAGAGAGAGAGAGAGAGAGAGAGAGAGAGAGAGAGAGAGAGGGAGGGAGGGAGGGAGGGAGGGAGGGAGGGAGAGAGAGAGAGAGAGAGAGAGATAGAGAGAGATATAGAGAGGATGTGAATGAGAGGGATGGGGAATAGAAGGGATTTGGGGGTGGTAGGATGGTGCGCAAATCTCAGCAAGAGACAACATTTTTTTACGAATCGCCAAATAGACTGGCGCGTACTCGCACCTTGAGGGCGTACTCGCACCTTGAGGAAGTACTCGCACCTTGAGGGCGCACTCGCACCTTGAGGGCGCACTCGCACCTTGAGGGCGTACTCGCACCTTGACGGCGTACTCGCACCTTGAGGGCGTACTCGCACCTTGAGGGCGCACTCGCACCTTGAGGGCGCACTCGCACCTTGAGGGCACACTCGCACCTTGAGGGCGTACTCAAGGTCGGCACGGGTGTGGGCGGCGGAGATGCAGATGCGGGCGCGGCCCAGCAGCACGGGCGTGGCGGGGAAGCCCACCACCACCACCGCCACCTGCAAACAGCACACAGGGGTAGGCAGGCGTGCGGCACAAGGCAGAGTAGGCTCTTGATGCGTGCTTGTTTAGTGTAGATGTGTGCCGATGGGCAGATGGGCAGATGGTGGTAAATTCAAATGGCGAGGAACATGCCTCTCGCATCACACAAAGATTTCAAAAGACGAACGAGATCGGACAGTAGAAGCAAGAAATTCCTGCCGGCACAGCGATGGCCAGGCATTTAGCACTTTCTTTCGACCAAACGTGAAGTGGCAGCAGTGGGTGGCAGCAGCGGGTGGCAGCGGGGTGAGGGCACTGACATGGCGTTTGAGGCATTCGCGGGAGAAGGCAGCGATCTTGCCGGGGTGGTAGATCATGATGGGCATGACGGGCGAGTCCTCATCGCCAAGCACCTCCAGCCCCAGGCGCTGCAGCTCCCCTCGAAACCAGTTGCAGTTCTCCCTCAGCTGCGCCAGCTTCTCCTGCCCTGCTCCACCCCGCCCAGCACGCACACATGGGCACAGAGCGTGGAAGGGGAGGGGGGGAACGTGGGGGGGAGCACATGGCGTGGGGGCGTTGGGCATGGAGGGGAAGCAGAGATGGAGAAGGAGAGCGGTGATGGTTGTCAGAATCCCAGCCACTACACGACTGAGATAAAAGGGTTTCGGGTTTGCACCCATAACCCTCCAGGCTTTGCACTTGTAACCCTTCCCTAGAATCAATCAGGAATCCCCAGTGCAGGTCTTCTGACAATGGTCATGTGGCGGCACATGGGGCATGCTCACTGCCATGCGCATGCGGGTGCAGCAGCAAAGGAGGAAAGCGCAGCCCCCGTGGAGGGGGGAGCAGCGCACAGGCGTGGAGGGGGGTATGGGCGGTAGCGGGGCAAGTTACCTCTTGAGGAGCCGTCGTGGCCCAGCAGCAGCTTGAGCGCGGAGAGGATCTGCTCCGCCGCTGCTGGCGCCATGGCCGTCCCGTACAGATGCCCCGGACTCGTGGCCTTCAGATACGCTATCAGCTCCTGGTGAGGCGCGGACAGGGGGGGGGTCAGACGGAGAGGGGGGAAAGGTAGAGTGGAGGGATGGTGAGGATATGGAAGTATGGAAGAACGTTGTGCAATGGGCAGGTAAAGGGATGCGTGCGATAGCTAGAAGTGAGGAAACAGGCAGGAGACATGGGAGCAGATAGCAGGGAGCAGAGTGTAGAAAATCAGTAAGCAGGTTAGCAGAGGTCAGGGAAGAAGCGAGCAGGGGAGCAGGGGAGTAGAGAGTAGGTGAGCAGGGGAGTGGGGAGCAGGGGAGCAGAGAGCAGGTGAGCAGGGGAGTGGGGAGCAGGGGAGTGGGGAACAGGGGAGCAGAGAGCAGGTGAGCAGGGGAGTGGGGAGCAGGGGAGCAGAGAGTAGGTGAGCAGGGGAGTGGGGAGCAGGGGAGCAGAGAGTAGGTGAGCAGGGGAGTGGGGAGCAGGGGAGCAGAGAGCAGGTGAGCAGGGGAGTGGGGAGCAGGGGAGCAGAGAGTAGGTGAGCAGGGGAGTGGGGAGCAGGGGAGCAGAGAGCATGGGAGTAGGGAGCAGGGAGTGGGACGGACGTGGGAGGCGGCGATGTAGCCACCGGCGGAGCCGAAGGACTTGGTGAAGGTGCCCATGAGCACGTCCACGTCCGCCGGGTCCACGCCCGCCACCTCGCACACGCCGCGCCCCGTGCGGCCCAGCGCGCCGATGCTGTGCGCCTCGTCCAGGAAGAGGTACGCCTTGTACTTGCGCTTGATGTCCATGATCTCGTGCAGGCGGCAGATCTCGCCCTCCATGCTGTAGATGCCCTCCACCACTATCAGCACCTTCTTCCACAGCCGGTGCGTGCGCGGCTGCCCCTCCGCTATGGCCGTGCGCAGCACCTGCTCCAGGTTCTCCGGCACTGCCCACAGCACCACGGCACGCCATGGGGACACGGTGGCATGAGGGGGGACGAGGTGGGCACGAGGTGGGTGAGGCAGGACGAGCAGGTAAGAGGCGCCAGAGTGCAGTAGCACTTGGATGGCCACGCCCTTGCGAGACATGGCTTGCGTTCAACGGTCCAAGAGGCATGCGTTGAGAACTAACAGGCCAAAGGGGCAGTGCGTGATGGCAGCGGAGGGAGAGAATAGGCGGACGGGAGAGGGTGGGCACAGAGGGGTTGGCAAGTGGAGGAGGAGTGCAGAGCGGTGCAGCGTACCGTTGTGTTGGAAGACTTTGATGCCGGCACCCGACGCACGCGCTCCCGCGATGATGCTGCAGTGGTTGAGCGAGTCGCTGATGATCAGACTCCCCTGCTCTCCACACACGGCGCCACGAGATACCATTTTAGAGAACAAGGGCAGGTGCGGGTATGAGTGTGCACTTCTTCCTATGAGTCGGCAAAAATATGACTAGTGCGTGGATGTGAGGGGTGAGTGGTGGGCGGGCAGCGGCCCACCTTGCCTACAAGGGCGGGCAGCGTGAGGGAGTTGGTGGCGAAGCCCATGCCGTACACGAGGGCGGCTGGCTTGCCGATGAACTCCGCCACGCACCGCTCCAACTCCACGTGCACTCTCGTTGTGCCTGCCAGTGCCACCCACCCCCGAGGTGCTGCGCCTTTAGATTTTCGTGAAGAGAGTCACACACTAGAAGCGCGCAAGTGCACCCAGCAGAGTGAGGCAGAGCATGGAGCACGACGGTGTGAGGGGCTGACCTGCGTGGCTGTGAGGGGCTGACCTGCGTGGCTGTGAGGGGCTGACCTGCGTGGCTGTGAGGGGCTGACCTGCGTGGCTGTGAGGGGCTGACCTGCGTGGCTGTGAGGGGCTGACCTGCGTGGCTGTGAGGGGCTGACCTGCGTCGGTGCGGCTGCTGCAGGTGGAGGAGCCGAAGAGGTGCAGCGAGTCCTGGGCACGGGGAGTGCAGTAGGGGTCGGGCGCACCAAAGCCCAGGTAGTTGTACGACCCCAGGTTCAAACTCCGCACCACCGTGTCCTTGCGCCTGCCACCCGCCATGCCCACACAGCGTCCCCCATGCCACATGACACATGCAGTCCAAGGGCCATCCGTGATGTGAGGGTGAGGGAGTTGACAAGGGTAAGAAACAAGTGGGTGGTGAGGGAGCTGGCATGGCGTCCCAAGCACGGAGATGCAATGCTGATGCATGGGGGCATGCGGCTCACACGAGGGTCTGGTTGTTGTCATGTGGCTCACACGAGGGTCTGGTTGTTGTCATGTGGCTCACACGAGGGTCTGGTTGTTGTCATGTGGCTCACACGAGGGTCTGGTTGTTGTCATGTGGCTCACATGAGGGTCTGGTTGTTGTCATGTGGCTCACACGAGGGTCTGGTTGTTGTCATGCGAGTCGCGGTTGACAACGTCGATCCATGCGTCGGGCGCACTGGCGATGGGTCGGTTCCAACAGTCCTGCACCCCACCAGCCCAGCACCGCTTAGATCAATGAAGGCATGAACGTGAAGTCAGCAACGTGGCATAGACGAGCGCGAGGTGAGAGCGCGGGGCGCACCTGAAGGCGATAGTAGAAGCGGCGAGTGTAGAAGTCTTCAAAGTCACGACAGAGGGGTGCGTAGCCCTGCCACCACACAGCACAGCGGCATGACGCACAGCGGTGAGGCACGGCGATGAGGCATAGCGGTGAGGCGATGAGCAAGCAGCAGCGGTGGCGCGAGCAAAGATGCAGTGACGGCCGCGCAATGGACTCGCCTACGCACTGCGCGGCTCGCGATCTTAGCAGCAGCAGCGGCGGCAGCAGCAGCAGCAGCAACCGCACCGGATCAGCCATGGCCCCCGCGACCAGCGATCTCAGCTGTCACTCGCTACACACACAACCTCGGCCACCCAGCTCGGGCCACGCACCTTCAACGTGTCCTTGAGCTGCGGAAGCAGCGAGCGGAAGGTGTCGCGGATGTGGCCGAAGAGGAAGAGGAAGCCATAGCTGATGTACGTCCTGAGCGCCGCCAAGTACGGAATGTGAAGCGTCATGGCCGTCCCCCGAATCCTAAACACCAAAGCCGCTGAGCCCAATAGCCGTGACGGCGGCTTAGCTTGCACTCGAGCGAAAGCGCCTACAAGTGGCACACGAACGATGATCTCTGACGGATTCACTAAGTGTGGAGTGGAAGCTGGAATCTGGATTGTGCGTCTGGCGATCGTTGCCACAGCCGAAATCGTGGCTCACGAACCCTGGTATAGTACGATTCAGAGCGGTAACTGCCCGAACCGTACCGACTTTCCCCAGATGATCCACGCCCTAAGGCCGTGGACATCCCACAGTTTGGCTTGTCACCGCTCTGCACCATACTAGAACTTACTGAAACAAAATACAACATGTATTGTCTACAACCTTGCTTGCGGCCCAAACTTAGGGCGTGTAAAATCTGGAACTCAAAAAATTCGGCCACAATCCGTCGGGCCGTTTCTGCGAAGGTAACCAGTCAGTGACATTCGTCAGTCGAGTGGCGACAGTCGCGAATCTCGCAAAAAATAAGCGAATTTGATGGCCGCTTAAAAAGTCGACACCAGGGCTTCGTTTTGTATTTGGCCTACTCACGATTGGCAGTGTAGTTTTTTCAAAAACCCTTATGGGCTGTGTGTACTTTTCCGTTACACTGATAGAGCAGTGTAACATCAGGTCTTGAATTTTTTACCCTGCATCTTCAGTGTGGTTTTTTTTCGAACACTGACAAATGTTTGCAAAGTCTTGTGGTTAGACCTAGTGCAGGCAGCAATACTGTAGTTGCTGCCAATGTTCGGTTTCGTGGCGTGCTGGCAAGGGAATCATTCATAACAAACCAATCGGACACGTGACTGTGGCCAACGCACGTACTGCACGGAAGGAATCCTCGGCACTTGCTGTCAGAATCATGAATGAGAATGAACGCATTTAGCAGAAGTTGGGTACAAGTACTAACCCTAATTGGGTTGTACCCCTTAGGGCTACCCCACTATAGCCTACACAAAGTAAGCAATATGACATTCTGGCACACTCCCATAGGCAAAATGGGGGAGAACAAGTGGTCACAAGACCAGTCAAGAAAAACAAAGCAAGCTCAGGGTGGATCACAAAGTCACCACACAGTCCGAGCACAAGCAAAGGGCCACAAGGCTAGTTCATATGCATGTTAGAATATGAAACGAATGAATGATTGAACTAGGAAGCAGGTAGGTACAAGTAGCAAACCTAAAAGTGCTGTACCCTACAAGAACTACCCCACTACAGCCTAAACAGACTATAGCATATAAGTTTGACACACCCCCATAGGCAAAGTGGGGGAGAACAAGAGGTCACAAGACCAGTCAAGAAAGGCAAAGCAAGCTCAGGGTGGATCACAAAGTCACCACGCAGTCTGAGCACAAGCAAATGGCCACAAGGCCAGTTCACATGTAGAATTATATAAAGGAAAAACAAACAATACAGTGAACACAACCTAGCAAGTGTAAGCATGCAGGTATATGTATATAGGGTACAGTACAAGCAGAGTCAAGAAGTAAGCAAGTGAGGGATAGTAGGTACAAGGCCTAGAACAGTATAGAAACGCTGATGATCACAAGGCTGAATTGCCTTGGTGAAAACATCAGCAGTGTTGGCCTGTGAGGCCACGTAAGCGAGACGAAGCTGGCCACGGTGCTGCAACTCTCGAGCAAGGAAGTAGCGCAGAGCAATGTGCTTTGTTCTGTGCTCCAGTCTGTGCTCCTGACACAAGGCCAGCATGGCCTTGTTGTCGACGTACAGAACTGGAGGAGAACGAGGCGCCTCTCCCAAGTCGGTCAGCAGGTAGGTGAGCCAACCTAACTCCTGTGCAGCCATAGCCCCAGCGTAGATCTCAGCCTCACAACTGGAGCTGAGAACAGAAGAAGAGCGGGTAGACCGCCAAGAGATAGAACCGGAACCAAGACTGAAGGTGTAACCCTATGACGACCGCTGCGTAGCCAAGTCGTCAACCCAGGAAGCGTCTGCGTGACCAGTGAGGAGAACTCGAGCCCGTCCTCCAAGCACGAGCCCCATGCCCGACGTACTGCATAGGTAGCGCAACACCCTCTTCGCAGCATCCCAGTGCACCTTTCGGTGTCGACCGGGAGCCACGTAGCGAGCCAGAAGGCTGAGAGGGTATGCAAGGTCAGGCCGTGTGCAAGTCATCAGGTACATGAGGCAGCCCACAAGCTCTGGATACGGGCCACTCGGCTCTACGGACTCGTCCGAAGGTGGAGCTGAGAGCGAGTGACCGGTAGGCAGAGGAGTGGACTGTGGCAAGGAGTACGTGAAGCCGAAGCGCTGAAGGACCTGATGCACCATGTGTGACTGAGTCAAGGTAATGGTGCGCTGTGCTCTGTCCCGGGTGATCCGCAAGCCAAGATAGCTTGTCAGTTCACCTAGGTCTGTGCACGTCTGTCTCTTCTGCAGCTCGGACTTCACGTGGGCGAGTGCCTCAGTGTCAGCAGTAGCAAAGACGAGGTCGTCTACGTACACGAGAACGTAGAACGGCGGCAGAGTGGTGTCAGTGCGTAAAAACAGTGAAGGGTCAGCTGTGGAAGGAGCAAAACCAAGAGCAGCAAGAGTGGTCCTCAGTGTGTCGTGCCACTCACGGGGTGCCTGGCGGAGACCGTAGACTGGCCGCTGGAGGCTCCACTGGGTACCAGCAGGAAACGACCCAGTGAAGCCAGGTGGGCGGCGCAGCCAGATCTCCTCGTGCAGGCTGCCCTGTAGGAAGGTTGTGCTGAAGTCAAGCGAGTGGAGCTCGTAGTCATGCTGAGCAGCTACGTACAGCAGAACCCGAAGAGTAGTCATCTTCGGGGTGGGGGAGAAGTTCTGGAAGAAGTCAGCTCCCTGTCGCTGACTGAAGCCACGTGGAATGTAACGCGCCTTGAAGACAGGCGGAGAACCCGGCGGCCGCTTCACCCTGAAGATCCACATGCCACTGACGATGTTCGCCCCAGGTGAGGGAACCTTGTCGACGTAGGTGCCTGTGGACTTCCAGGAAGCCATCTCGGCGTCCATGGCTGCCTGCCACTGAGAGGAGTAGGGACCCTCTATCGCCTCTGCGTAAGAGCGCGGGGTCGGGATGTCTGGTGCATCCGGGTCTCCCTCAGGGGCAAGCAGCATGGACACGAGATGAGGTAAAGCAGCGGCAAAGCACTCAAACTCCTCCTGTCTCTCCTCAAGAACGTCCGTGCCAAGAGCAATCTCACCCCCGACGGACGGAGGACAGACAGACGCAGACGCAGACTCAGCAACAAGACCAGTGGCGTAGTCTAGGCGACAGGCTGCCGCAAAGTCAACAAGCTCAGCAACGAGAGCAGACGCAGAAGTGGACTCAAACAAAGGGTCAGTGACAGCAGAGGCCAGAAAGCGCGTCACAGCAGGACGAGCAGCACGAAGGGAGTTAGACTCCGGCTCTACAAGTGCAGGAAGAGAGGATGTAGGAGGAGACGGCAGAGGGACACGCTATGGAGCAGTGGAAGGACGCAAAGTCATAGAGTGAGTGCCAGGGACAGGAGGATAACGCTGACGCATAACACGACGACCAGCGCGAACAGTGCGGACAGGCGACTCCGAACGAGACTCAGGTGACTCAGGACGAGACTCAGGCGACACAGGACGCGACTGAGGCTCACGACGCTCCGTAAGACCTCTAGTCGGTCCAGAGTAAGGAGAAGGACCAGGCAGGGGAGAGGCTGGCTGTAACTGCGACTGTGACTGGACAGGCGGTGGACTCAGTAAAGGAGGAGTAGGACCAGGAGAAGGCTGTAGACCAAGAACCTGCTGAAGGAGCGGAACGTAGTACGGCCGCGGCCTCGCAGCGCCTCCAGGAACAGTAGAGACAGCACCAGTACCCACAGGGTCTCCAGCTACAACTCCCGCAGCACCACCAGCTCCAGTACCTGCAGCGCCAACGTCTGCAGCACCACCAGCCCCAGCGGCTCCAGCACCAGCAGCACCTCCAGCAGCACCAGCAGCAGCTCCAGCACCAGCAACACCTCCAGCAGCTCCTGCACCAACAGCACCTCCAGCAACTCCAGCACTAGCAGCACCTCCAGCAGCTCAAGCACCAGCAGCACCTCCAGCAGCTCCAGCACCAGCAGCACCTCCAGCAGCTCCAGCACCAGCAGCATCAGTAGCACGGCGACAGCGCCGAGTGTACCACTCACGAAGCCGCTGCGGAGAGAGGGGCTCCCGCCTCAACGGGACACCCGGAGAACCTCCAGAATCAGCACGCGAAGGCTCAGCACCCCAAGACGCAGTACCCCCAGGCTCAGCACCCCCAGGCTCCACACGCTCCAGCTCAGCACCCCCAGACTCCACACCCCCAGTCCCCGCACCCGCAGGCTCAGCACCCCCAGACCCCACACGCTCAGGCTCAGCACCCCCAGGCTCCGCACCCCCAGTCCCCGCACCCGCAGGCTCAGCACCCCTAGCAGCACCTGAGTCGACAGCTACCTCGACCGGCTCGGCAAGGTCTACCTGAGACACACCTGAGGGGGCAGGACCCTGAGGGGGGAGGGAGTCTATCGTAGGAGTACCTGGTGCTAGGAAGAGTGGTGGGGGGGGGAGAGAGGCAGTGCGGTAGGGAAAGAGACGGTAGTAAGACACCGACTCGTCAAACGTGACGTCCTGAGAGGACAGAACACGACGCGAGGTGGGGTGGTAGAACTGCCACTCGGGTGCGTCAGGGGGGAAGCCAAGGAAGACGCAGGGAACGGCACGGGAGGACATCTTGTTCGTTGAAGTATCGCGGACAAAAGCTCGAGATCCCCAGACACGGAACGCGGACGCATCGCCAACCCTCCCCATCCACCTCAGAGTAGGTGTGGTCTCTGGCAAGGAGACACGAGGCTAAAGGTTGATCTGATGCGCAGCGTACTGAACCGCAAACGGCCACAGAAAATGGGGAGCAGCCGCATGGATCATGGACGTACGAGCAACGTCCATGACCATGCCAATGCGGCACTCAGCAATCCCATTTTGCTGTGGGGAGGCCGGAAGC